AATCAACTTCAACAAAATATATGAAGCTTTTACATGTAATCTTTCCTTCAACAAGATGTATTTAAGCTTTAACATCTTGAACCATCTGACATTGTTGTCCTACCAACGCAAAACTTCATTCGATTTGCACAAGTACAAGATCAGGTGATAGGTAATTATAATCAAGAAGTGGGGAGAAAAATGTTGCTGCCTTACAAAGAAATGTGTGCTCAGAAAAAGGTAAATTTTGCTTTTTGAATCTTGATCTTGTTCTTGTACGAGTCCTGAGGAAGTAGAAATTAATTTGCTGAATTCAAAACGTAGGCACAAGGAGAAATAAAAGTAATTGAATCGGATGATGTGGCAAAAGCAATTGCAGAGGAGATTGCAAACTGCAATACTAAGAAACTTGTTATAGGTGCTGCATCTTACAGCCTCTTTTCAAGGTATTTATCAAACATAATGGTGGAAAATTCTTAGTGCTTTACTACTTTAAATTTAGTTACATCTATCAACACTTTGATGGTTGCAAGTAACCAATTTATGGTGTTTTGCAAGCAATCAATTACTAAAGATATCACCCATGCAACCTGTTTATGCATTTTATTCTCATTTTTCTACTTGCACTTAGATTTTGTCATCAACAAGATAATTTCTGCAGGAAACCTAATAAAAATAATATATCCACAAGAATCTCAGTGAGTACTCCAAGCTTTTGTACAGTCTATGCTGTTTTGAAAGGGCAATTGTCATCCATCCGCCCATCTCAGTTAGGCACAAGTGAAAGCATTAAAGACAATAGTAGTGACACTACTGGCTTTAAAAATAGTTCATCTAGTTCCACTTCCAACTCAGAAACAGGTAATTCTACTTCACGCCTGGGCTACATCTGTTTATTGCTGAAGATGCATGTCTCTTTTTAGGAACAATGATTTATCAAGCCTTGGCACAAAATTTTAATAACTCAATTTCATTCACCAAGCTCCTTTTTTTAATTTATCAGAAACAATGTGACTAAAACATGGTGAATTGAACGTTAGAATCTTAGTTTTCACTCTGATATATTTTCTGCAGGAGCTGTTTTAAGTTATTAAAGGTTCTAACACTTTTTTTTTTTTTTTTTTTTGGCTTCTGTTTTATGGGAAGTGCAGATCTTGGCTCAGTTTCTTCATCCGGTCATTATTGTTCTTCTGCCCCGCCAAAGGTGCCATTTCAGGGTCTTTCAGCCAAGACCCTACTTCAGTCAAGACTAAATCACCAAAAACAGGTTCATTCACGATGCCACTCTTTGGATATCGAGGAAGAGAAGGATTCTATGAATTCTGGTGACAGTGGGCAGACAGTCAGACGAAGTTCGAGTTACAGGAGGATTCATTTTCTAACAGATAGCCACAATCAGTCTGAACTAGTTTCCCCCTCAAATGTACAGATTGACTATTCTTCCTCTGAAAGCCAGGTAGCTTTCCAATTTCTTTGGACTTACATAATCTGGTGGAGATCAGTGGATTTCTATTTCTTTCATGATTGACATTTCTCATAAGCTGCTTTTCAGAATAATCGACTGCTGGTTGTTAACTTGTGCTGTACATTTCTAATTTGTTCTAGTAAAAGATTTTTGTGTGTGACATTGCTTTCGTTATAATGAAATTACATGGTAGTTCAATCTTTTCTCTGAAGAATTGGCATGCAAAAATAGTTTCTACTGAATTATCATAATCTTTAGATTTACTTGAAGCCATTTACAAACCAGAATTGACCAAAACACATTTTTATATCTTTGAAAAAATAACATATACGATGAAGAAAGCCAAGATTGGTAAATGATCATTGTGTTATCGTTCAGTTCAATAAACAGAGTTCAGTAAGACATCTATATCCATCCCAGAAATGATTTTTTCTGTTATCACATTTGCAGGTAAGCGATAAGTGGGAGCTTGAAAAGCTGAAAATTGAACTTGGATATATCCAAGGAATGCACAAAATGGTTCAGAGTGAGGAACTTGAAGCTTCTCAACAGGTTAGTCTGGCCTCCTCTATGCAAGAGTTAATTTGTAACTCCTTTTTCATTATTTATTCTGCAAGCCGAATGTTGAATAATTTGTAACTCCTTTTTCATTATTTATTCTGCAAGCCGAATGTTGAATGCAATTTTTTCAGGATTTTATATTGAATCTGATTCTCACAATGGTGATTTATATGCTATCTTAATTATCCATAGTAGATCCTTGCTCCTGCCATCTTAGTATGGAAAACCTAGTGTCCATACACTAGAATGTTCATTCTAATTGCAATGAGAACCACGGGCCACGTTCAAATAGATGCAAGCCAAATAATTTTTTTCTTTTCTTATTTTTTTCCTTATAATTCAAAAATTCTTAATTATAGAATTTTGGCTATATTGACAGAATATATTTCTGAAGTAGAAATCTTCTCCTTTAAGTCAATATTCACCTTAAACTGAGAAAACTCACAAAAACGTATGGGTACTATAATTTAACGTGCATTACTCATTTGCTAACCAAGACTCATTCTGATAATACAGTAATATCAAAAGGACTTTTATGAATAATTTCCCGATTATTCGTTGCTGAACTTCATAGTAATTTTAACTGTACCTGAAATACTTGGCATTTGTAATTTTATTGTTGCATTCAGTTTACTTGCATGTCACTAAATTATTGGGGGCAGTTCTTTGCCCCAGCTTTTCCTATATAATAATCATTACATCCTGCCTTTCTCAGCTGAAAAATCTAATGATCATCAACTAGACGTGGCAGCAATGCTCCAAGAGAAAAACCAACAAGGTGTAGAATCAGCTAGACAAGAGAAAAGTAAAATGAAGCGCAAGAAGGGAAGCCAACAATGTTAGGAAAAGGGCTGAAAGTGAAGCTTCACCAAGACAAGAAGACTTGGAAGCTGCACCTGATGCCAAAGAAAAAGAAAAGCTTGAGAATGCTCTTCAGTTTCCTGAGCAGCAATACCATAGGTTTACATGGGAAGAGATTGAGACTGCACCTCATCGTTTTTTAGAAACCTTAAGATTGGAAGGGAGCATATGGAACTGTTTATAAGTGCAATTTGCATCATACAATTGCAGCAGTAAAGTTCTCCGGGCCAAAGGGATCCATGAAACTAAGCATTTCCAGAGGAGGTATGAAAGTTTTTTATAAAACATATACAAAACTTATTACGGTCAAAGAAAAGTGGATGCTGAGATGCCTGTATAAACCTCCTTTATTTGGCTGTCGACGTAAGTAAAGCTCTTTGAGCTTCAATCACAATGTCTATTTCATTCCATTACTAAGTTTCATGATTTCTGCTCTTCCAATTTGAAAGATGAACCAATTAATTTTAATCAATTGACTCGAATAATGTCATCAGGATTTATAACTAGGGAAAAGTATGTAACCATATGATGCATTTAGTATGGCTTTTAATTAGCTTGTCATTCTTTAAAGATCACTTGGTTTTTGGTTTGCAATATAAATGTCATTAGATTTATAGGATATTCATGGATCTTAAGGAATAAACCCGATAATAAAAAAAAAATATAAATATACATCTATAACCTAAAAATCAATTAGGACTTGGAATTCATATTAAAGTTTAAGATACAATCTTTTGGCTTTCTATTGTGCGGTTATTTCATAAGACGGTATGTATGATTAAAAGCCAACTTCTCCCGCCCAAGATTTTGGTTAAAATCTAATCTTTATTTTGTCGATTCTCAGCTTGAAATCTTGAGCAAAATTCACCATCCACATTTGCTTCTCTTCTGGTGTGTGCGGATCATGGTGTCCTGTTATGAGTACATGGAGTTGGTAGCTTGGAGGATAGGTTATATCGAAGGAACAATACACCTCCCATCCCAGTTAGGACAGGTTCCAGATAGCTTGGGAAGTAGCCTCAGCTCTTGTTTTTCTTCACAACTCAAAGCCAAAACCAATTATCCATTGTGATCTAAAGCCGGCGAACATTTGCCGACAGTAACTTCGTGAGCAAGATTGGTGATGTTGGCCTCTCAACAATGCTGAGTTCAGACCCCTTCCATGATCCTCTACATACAAAGAGACAGGCCTGTTGGAACCTTCTGCTATATAGATCCTGATATCAAAGAACAGGTCTAATCTCCGAAATCTGTGTTTATGCTTTTGGAATGGTAATTTACAACTGCTAACAGCAAAGGAACCAATAGACTAGCTCATATAGTAGAAACTGCAGTAAATAGGGATAATTAGTAGATATTCTAGATCACATGCTGGAAATTGGACATCAATGAGACTAAGGAGCTAGCTACTTTGGGACTAAGCTGTGCAGAGCTTCGACGAAAGATAGACCTGATTTAAAAGATCAAGTCCTTCCTACACTGAAGAGATTGAAGGAAGTTGCTGATAAAGCCCGTTGTTCAGCTTCAAAATTTCCCTGCGAGCTCCAGACCACTTCATTTGCCCACTACTTAAGGTATGCCTAAATTGTTTTTTTGAATGCCGTTCTGAGCTTAATTATGCGTACTTCATATCAACTTTCAATGGTGACTTATTTGCTACTTTTATAGGATGTAATGAACGACCCTTGCGTGGCTGCGGATGGTTACTCTTATGATCGAAAAGCTATGGAGGAAGGCTTCGAAACAATGATGAATCACCATCGCTCATTTGCCTTTGTCAAACAGAATTTGTTACCAATTACTCACTTCTTTCAGCTATTGAGGAATGGAAGTCTAAACATTCGCAGTTTCAGGCAATGTGTCTTCAGTAGAGATTTTGGGTCCTCCTTTTGGCCACTATTCAATTAATAGGGCTTAGTATAGGCACATTTGGACTGGATGCTAAACTAAATTACACCAAGTTTATTATATTATTCTTTTTTAAGGAGTGAGGGGCTGTTTAGTTTATGTGATCCTGAAACTATCGATAGAGTAAGAGTTTTAGTAACTACTCTCATTAATAACTAAAGAGAGACTCAAATTAGACTTCTTGAGTAACACCCTAAAATCTTTATCAAAACACTTTGATTTTATCATGTACCATTTGGGGCATATATATGATAGTTTAATCAGGTAATTTAATTAATAATTGTCCACAGTAAAGCATGCTTCAATATTGAATCCTCCAAATCAATGGATATATTTACTTAATATATTAAATTAGGTTTTGAATAATCCTATCTTTTAGCATGTTATATTTACTTTAAACATAGATTTATTTAAATTGAAATATCTTTTTACCATGTGATGTGATCACTTATTTATGCCCCGCCATAACTCATTAAATTTTATGTTCTTTAAATAAAAATAATTTGCAGATTTAGACAATAAAGTAATAAAGACTCTCCCTATGTGCACAACTTCCAACGGCCATTAAACAGTACAGATTAAACGGGTCCCGTTTGCTACATCATTCGCACTTCATCACCACTAGATCTCTCCACGTGGCTAAAAAAGACCGCTGGGTCCACCTAATATGAAACCAACCAATCAGCCAGCCCATCCGATCTTTCCCCCAAACAAAATCAGAGCAAACCCTAACGAAACCCTGACGTTTCAGTTACCAAAACACCCCCTTCCTCCTCCATTGCCTTCACTCTCACGTCAACTCTCTGCAAAACCATTACTATTTCAAAGGGCCTCTTTCTTTTCTTTCTGCCGTGGCCACATCAAAGTCATTTTTATCTTATCTTCCATTCCAAATAATTAGATTCTCTTATAAATCAACGACTCGTTTCTCCAACTTTGCCTGATTTCAATTATGGATTTTTCTTAGACTTTTCATTTTTTTGGATTGGTTCTCTCGCTTTTTCAAACGAGGCATTGAGCTCCAACGAGTTTCCGAGACCTCTGATTGTTCAATACCCGGATAATATAATCGAGACCCGGTTGGACGGAGCTCCATGAAGAGGTGAAATACAGTGTACGAGTTGGAGATTTTCGGTTGAAGCTAACAATAAGGGCCGTGGAAAACGATTCCTCGTGAATGTTTGGAGTACGTGAAAGATTACATGATGGGTCGAAGTTATAAAATGGATCTCGAGAGGGCCTCTGACGAGGCTAAAGTTTACGCCAATACTGTGTTCAAATGGATGGTGATGGCAAAGATGTGTGGATTTTCGACATTGATGATACTTTGTTATCCAATCTTCCTTATTATCAAGAGCATGGTTATGGGTAAGTTTCATTTTCAAAAAATTAAAAAAACATGTTTGTTTTTTTCTGTTTGGTTGCTGAGAAAGTGTGGACGGAAGATAGGAATTGGACCCATTTTAACTATTAGTTTAGTTGTTTCTCGAAAACTAGAATTAGGTAAAACATGTGATTTAGCACTATAATTTTATCCTAATTCAAACTAATTATGCTAATCGAGTTAATTGAACAATGGCCTTGATTGAATTTGATTTTGATTTTTAATTATTTTGTTTACTTTTTGTAATTTCTGATGTGGGTTTTGTTGTGAATGTGTAGCTCCGAGATATTTGATCCAGTGGAGTTTGATAAGTGGGTTGAGAAGGCCATGGCACTAGCTATAGAACCCAGTTTCAAACTTTATGAAGAGGTTCTGAAATTGGGCTTTAAGATTTTCTTGTTGACCGGGCGCAGTGAAAATAAAAGGGCTGCTACTATTGATAATTTGATCAATGCTGGGTTTCAGAATTGGGACAAACTCATTTTGAGGTGAGTCTTGGTTCTTTTATGATTTACAACATCTTGTGATATTTTAGTTTTGTATAGTTTTATGTGACATTTTGTTAGCATATTCCTTTTGCTGGCTTTGTGTAGAGTATTACATGTGTTTGTACAAATGCACTAATCTCTATTATAAGACATTTGGAACTTGTGCTCGATTTATCTTGTGGATGCATCTCAGTTCTAATATGATTTTAGACTATTAGCAGAAGAATAAACATAAAAACATGGTCTTGTTGCTTTCCTATGCTGCTGATAGTTTGAGCATGTAGAGGCCTTCTTGATTCTGTTCCTGAGTACATTATATTAGATGTTGGTATCTTGTGAATGATGGAACTTCCCTTGTAAGTTGTTAATCATTCTTTCTAGTTCAGCTTCTTCTGTTATGCAATAAGGGCATAATTTTGAATTCTAGTTAGGCAAGGTTACTACTTTTGATATGCTTCAAAAGGATGGGCCTCATGAAATGTGCTGCCTGCATGTATGCATTGTGTGTTGGAAAGTGGTGAGTCATATAATAGTTTTTGCATTGACTGGTATCTTAAAGTATACAGGAAGATGGTTTTTTATTGGATTAGTTTTATGCAGTGTATCTTTCCCTTCTGTAAATGCTTTCTTGTGTGGGTATGGGAGGGATTTATTTGAAGGTACTCTAGTTCGCAATTGTTTGTGTTCATAGAAACAAAAGGACATATGAGGAGAAAAATGATTGTCCTTATCTTTTTGGGAATATATGGGTTATTTTGAGTTTTTCTAATCGACAAAATAACCCAAATATTTCGTCTTTGGGATTAGGGGAGGGATGAGAGTATGGATTTTTGTGTGGTGTTTGCAAGTATGGCATCGTCTTCAAAGAAGAGAATTTCAATAACCATTGTTTTTGTTTTTTTTTTTTTTTTTTTTTTGGGATAGGAAAAAACCAATTATTCACTATTATCAATTCTTTTCTTTCTTTGTTATGCTGCAGAAATTGTCATCTGTGCATTCTACTGCATATATATACTGAATGTGTGCAGCCAGTGTAGATGCATTCATCCATAGATGTATATATGAAACATAATAAGTAAAGTATACACGACTTACAAAATGGAAATTTAATGGCTCCGTTTGGTTCACAATTTGTGTTTTGGGAAAAGTTTTTTGAAAAAAGTTAAAAAAAAGTTGATTGGGCGAGTATTACGATGTAGGATTTACAAATTATAAAAATACCCTATGTTTGTTTTACAAAAACACCTTATAAAAAACATTAAAAGTTAACAAAAATACCCCCAATCCACCCTCAAATACGGACAGCGGCCACCACCGCCGGAGGGTGGTCGGAGTCGCCGTAACAAAAACATTAAAAATATTAGGGGTATTTAATGAATTAACAAATTAGGGGTTTAAAAAATGTTGAATAAAGTTTATAATATTGTGAGTTTTTGGGTATTTACTGTTTAACTTTTTTGGGAATACTAAAAGTAGTATTCCAAAAATCCCACAAAGAAGCCACTGTGATTTCTATTTGGTCTTTTTCCTTTTTTCTCACCCTAGGCTGGTTGAGATATTCCATATTTTCTTTTAGCTGAATATTTCATGCATCTGAAATGGTTTTGCATGGCTTGGAGCCATCAATATTATCAGATGCTATTGTCAAACTAAATTGGTTCTGAGTAATTCAGATCCAACCTGATATATTTATGAGAGTTAGGGCACTATCCTCTACATCAGAGAAACTTTTGATACCATCAGCTTAAGTATATACTTAATTTGCGGCATTCAATTTCTTCTCTATTTTGTATTTTATCTGATTGATTAGTGTCCGTCTTAGGTAAGATTTAATCGTATATCTTTACACTGTTTATGTCCTGAATCCTAAAGAGATTGAAAGGAAGTGATGAAAATTTAATTTTATTTCAAAATATGTCAATGATTGATCTTTACCATTTTTATTCAGTGGGTTTTCACTGCTTGTAGTTCTAATCCACAAAACATGATTTTCTTTTATTTTTCGCATTCTTTGCATATGCCACAATGCAAAGAATGCATAGCCTGGTTTTATGGCTATGCAATCTCCGAATGAATCCCGTTTCTTTATTGCTGTGCAGAGGCCCTGAGGACCATGGGAAATTGGCAACAATTTACAAGTCAGAGAAGAGAAATGAGATGGTAAATAATGGATTTCGAATTCTTGGGAACTCTGGGGACCAATGGAGTGATTTACTGGGTGCTTCAATGTCCATTCGCTCTTTTAAGCTTCCGAATCCAATGTATTATATTCCCTGATGGCACAGATTGTATTTGAATTGATTATTTTTAAAAATAATTCCTGATAGAACAGATAAGACTGTTGTTCTTGTAAATTGTAAAGAACTTAAAACACACAAAGATTGTTGAACTGAGTAACTAACAATTCCAAACACTCTTGTGTACAAATACATTTATTATTAACCAAAACAAAGGATCATTTAACACTATATTTTGTTTATTGAACTTTTTTTCTCTGCAATCACACAAGAAACATGCCTGGGGCTGGATGTCTGTAAGCAAGTAGTAGCATGAAGAGTTTGAGAATGTCTTCAAATAAAAAGATCACCAGCCTGGTTCCATTGATGTTCACAGTTCTGAAATGTAAATAGGGTGTGGCATTTCATATTGTATAAGATGTATTGTAGGGTTTGTTTACAATGTTTTAGTCAAACTATAAGGTTTTTAAGGAATAAAGAGAATATTTGAAATGCTTATAATAGTTACAGTCCAATAAACCTTTTATAAAACGTGATTCCAATTAATAAGAAACAATATCTGTTGATGTAAGACAGCTCACTTAAAATATTTTCTATGATTTATAGATGGAAAATCATTATCAAAAATAGAATACAATTTGTGTCGTTAAAATCAAGCTTTCTTAATTGCTATTAATATCTTAAGCTAAAATTACATCACATCCAACATCTCATTAATCATGAAAATACATTACATCTTCTAACATTTACAAATTAAATCATTTCCATGAGTTTATAACCCATCAAGATTTACATAAATATTAATCATTAGTGTAGGTAGCTACTAACATTTTATGGCAAATAAAACTATACACTATTAACTACCTTTGGATGATTAAATGGTTCAATAGGGACTCTTGAGTGTATTACTTAAGAAATCATAAGCTCAAGTTCTTCTTCGGTTACTAATAAGATAGTCACTAGAGCTCTTATCCGGTCGATAATTTTAGAGTGTTTCGAAGATTAGTTGAGATGTGCGTAAACTAGTCTGAACACCCTTAATCATTGAAAAAAAAAAAAAAAAAAAAAAACTATACACTATCAATTCCTATGGCACCAACATTTTATTATTGGTGAAGATTCATGAGATATGATTTTGTGATATTGCTTTATGAAGAGACAACATTAAACAAATGAATAAATTAGGCAACAACACACTAGTGATGCCATTTTCCTTTGGGATATATTATATTGTATGGTTGAGAAAAAATTAGGTGAGATGGGGCTGTCCCGTTAATACATGTGCTTTTGTTATTTGATGATTTATTTAAAATATAATTACAACTCTTCTTGGATTATTTTGTTGTGCTATAAAGGATTGCAAGGATGTTCAAATACTCGTGTATCATTCTCTCTTGATATAATATATCGTTGATATCAAAGGAATTTTGATATTGCCCACTGTGTTACCTTTGAATTTAAAATAAAAAAGAAATAAAAAGGAATAATAAATGAATTGAGAAAAAGGGTAACGTTATTGTTACTTTTTAAGTTTCCCCAACGACGAGGTTGTATAAACTCAGGTGGGCCACAGCTTGTAATCCGTCCACACGTTTTGATAAAGAATTATCATGGGTGACGACGTAGCATGGGTCCCGCCCGATTGATGCTAATACTAATGCCATCAGACACCAGGTCAGTGGATGATGAAGTGGGGACACCTATTAGCTCATCAATCTGCGCCGTCAATTTGCTCTGTGATTCAACCACCACTTTAACTAATGGGTAAAGTTTATGGGACACGTGGTCCAATGTCAGATGCCTTTGCCAAACTATTTTTTTGGACACTTTTTGGAATCCGATTGGGGTGGAGAAACAGGTCCCCCACTTTACTACAAAATTATGTGCTTTATGAACATGGGGACCTACTAAACGGTGCAGTTTTGTGATTTCTTCATATTAACTTATATTAATTATTTAATAGGGTTAACGGTTAATTAATTGGCAGTTGAGGTCGGTATTAAAACATTTCCACTATGAGTTAACAATCCATTCGCCTAAAACAATCAATCGTTGATTAACTAAAACGGTCAACCCTTTTTTTCAAAATATATTTTCTGCCTGCCCCTTGCGCATAAATTTGCTGAAACTAAATAACAAGGTTAATGAATTATTATATATTGGTTAGTGTTAGTTATGATTGAATATGATATGGTAGTAATTTCAAGTGGTTGGTCGGGTGATTAAAAAAGTTTGTTTTATTAATTAACTTTTTAGGTTCAAATTTTCTTAAAATCAGTCACCATATTTATAATTTATTTGAAACATTGAATTTATACAGTGTTTAATGAGTTTCAAAAATTATTTAAGGTATTCACAAATTAACATGAACACCCTGATTATAAAATTAAAAAAAAAAAATGATATGGTAATAGTTTGTTTCAAGATTACGCAAATTATAATGAATATTGATGATTTGGTAATAAGAATACAGTAAATCAATGAGGATTAAAGCAATCAATCTACACGTAAATAAATACATAAAAAAATATAAATATAATGAAAGTTAAAATCATTCGGAAATCAATTCTGTCATGCTTATTATTTCTACCACAGAATGGGCCATCCATTCTGTAAACTAAGCCAACCTTTCAATTCATTTCTACCTAACTATGCTGCTCACCTTATCATTTATTCACTAATTTTGCCCATTTTTTCAAGCCAACTACACCCACAAGTAGCTTAGGATTGAAGGCATTCTTAGATTTTAGTTTGCAAATGTTGTTCCAAATAAAGTACCAACCATATTTTTTGTTAACAAAAGTAAATAGCATTGATTATAGGAAATATTCTTAGTCAAATCAATCATCATTTTAGATTTCTTTCCTAAAAATGAGTTTTTTTCTGACTGTTTACCACATTAAAATCATTCAAATATTAATATATTTTTAATGAGTTTAATATATGAGTTGGGTTTGCGTTTGTCATGGAGGAAGTTTCACTTTCACTTGCACTTTCATATACAGAGTTGTGCAGAGCAATGGAGTCAAATTACATAAAAATATCACATGGCTTATGTCTAGATCTGTCTTACTAGATTCTGTATTTGCTCTTTTCTTTCTTTTCCATTTCATTCCACCTGCAAATTACATCTCTCTCTCTCATCTTCTTCCTTGATCTAAAGTCTATTCATCTTTTTCTTTCTCAAAAATTAAAAGCATTGGGTTCCCCGCCCTTCTACAAAGTTCATATCTATCTTCATCTTCTTGTCTTCTCTTCCCTCCCCTGCTTCTCTTTCCTCCTCTACTGTACCATTTTCCATGAAACTCAACTAAACACTCTCTACTTCCATTAAAGCTTTCTCTTTTCTGTCTTTTTGCGTTCTACCCAGACCTTCTTTCTTTCTTTTCTTTGTCCTCTCACCAGTCTCATGAAATGAGAAACACCCACATGCTGAAACTAGTCCTTGGACTAACATCAGCAACAGTTTTTATCATTTTCGTAGTCATAGTTTTCTTTTTCCGCAAAAGAGCCGCAAAAGATGAGCAAGATGACTTGGAAGCGAACAATAAGCACACAAATGGAGAGACAGACATTGAAAGAGAGGATCTTGTTACGTTCCAGGGAGGTGAAGATCTTACAATCTGTGACATTCTTGATGCGCCTGGAGAAGTCATAGGTAAATCAAATTGTGGAACTTTGTACAAGGCTTTGTTGCCGAGGAGTGGCTCGGTGAGGTTGCTCAGGTTCCTGAGGCCTGTGTGTGCTACTAGGGATAAGGAGTTTGGTGATTTGATTGAGTTGTTGGGGTGCATTAGACACTCCAATTTGGTGCCTCTTTTGGGATTTTATGCAGGGCCGAGAGGTGAGAAGCTTCTTGTTCATCCATTTTATAAGCATGGGAATCTAGCTGAGTTTATTAGAGGTGAGTTTCTTTGACTTGTGTTTGTTTCATTTTCACAGAGGAGTTTTAGATTTTGTTTTCTGGGTTATATTTGCTCTTGATTGATTTTGATGACAGACTTTCTTTTTGCTTTTTATTTCTTAAAAATGTGTTGTTTTTCATCCATTTGTTCAGCAAACCCATGAGAGAGTTGTTGATTTTCTGATCTGATCAATGTTTTGATTGAATCAAGGTGTGACAGAGGTTGATCTTGACTCGTTTAAAAGCAAAATACTTGAATGAATTTTTTCAACAGTAACTTTAGAACATTACATGGAGTTCTTTTAGATTCCTCTTTCCAGTTCTTTAGAATCTTAGCACTATTCTTCCGGGATTTGCCACTATATTTTTCACTTTGATTGAGTTGATATTTTGCTTTTTTATTGTAATTTTCAATTGAGCAGTAGTAGTTACTTGTTCATTTTGGCATCTTTTAACCTGTACCAGTCATAAAAGTTAAACCAGTTGTAAACTCTTATCAATTTAATTTTTCTTTTAACTTGAATTGCTGATGATGATACTATGATAGTAGCTTCTTTTATTTATTTTATTCTATTGTCTTTTCCTTCTTATCTTTTTATTAGGGGCTCTTAACTTGATTTAGATTTGTTTTGTCTGAATAATTTTGGATTTCTTTGTGCAAATTCACAAGCAATTTCTTTCTTGCATAATTTACAGCGTCGGTACCTACCTTTGTCCTTTTCCTTCTCTTTCACTTGTGAAAAAAATTTTGAAATCTTTTTACCAGGCGTTCACCACTATGCTGTTCTTTCATGTCTTATTTCTTTTCCTTACAATGGTTATACAATCTTAAGTTTTCTTAGCTGCATAGTTTACATTTTGAATAGATTATGTTTCCAATGAGCAGGTGGAAATGGTGAGTCTCACAGATGGACCATCATTTATGGGATCTCCATTGGTATAGCTAGAGGATTGGATTATCTCCACACAGGATTGCTTAAGCCTGTAATTCATGGAAACCTTAAGTCGAGGAATATATTATTGGATCGGAATTACCAGCCCTACATCTCTGATTTTGGCTTACATCTTCTGTTGAATCCTACTGCTGGACAAGAATTGCTTGAAGCTTCAGCTTCTCAGGGGTATAAAGCTCCTGAACTTATCAAAATGAAGGATGCAAGTGAAGAGACTGATATATACTGTTATGGGGTAATTTTGCTTGAACTGCTTTCGGGAAAGGAACCAATCAATGAGAATCCAACTCCTGATGAGGACTTTTATCTGCCAAATTTTATGCGAAATGCGCTTCTTGATCATAGAATCTCAGATTTGTATCACCCGGACTTGCTTCTAAGCAAAAACAATAGTCATGAAAACCCAGTTACTGAAGAACGCATTCTCAAATTCTTTCAGCTTGCCATGTCTTGTTGTTCTCCTTCTCCTTCTCTTAGACCAAACACTAAACAAGCCCTACGGAAGCTTGAAGAAATTGGAAAATAGGAACTTTGGCATTTTGCTGAAGTTGAACTTGATCTTGGTGGTAGGCCACTGTAAGGTTCATTTCAGGCTGATTTATCTATATTTAAAATTTTCTAACATCAACATGTTTGATAGTGTGACAATAGTGATGACAATGACATATGTGAGGAGCACATAAAAATTGTATTTTATTAAAGCAAAAAGTTGAAATTTTTTTGGCTGTGGGACAAAGATTGTCGAATTGGTGATGTGGACATTGGTGGAGAAAGTTGATTGCTGGGTGTTCTTTTGTGGCATAGGTTGCACATTTTAGCCATATATCCAACAAGCTTAGCGGAGTTAGTGATTGGATTTGTTGGATATCAATATCAGCAGCACAAGATAATGGATCTATTCCGGTCCCAGCTTGAGCATGCGGAGGCACATAAATTTGTGAGAAAGAGCCAATTTTTCAGCAGGAAAAGTGTATTTTTCTTCTTGGACCTCAGCATCCGGCCTTCTNAATTCACAAGCAATTTCTTTCTTGCATAATTTACAGCGTCGGTACCTACCTTTGTCCTTTTCCTTTTCTTTCACTTATGAAAAAAAATTTGAAATCTTTTTACCAGGCGTTCACCACTATGCTGTTCTTTCATGTCTTATTTCTTTTCCTTACAATGGTTATACTATCTTATGTTTATTGCAATTTTATGTCTACTTGTTTTCTTAGCTGCATAGTTTACATTTTGAATAGATTATGTTTCCAATGAGCAGGTGGAAATGGTGAGTCTCACAGATGGACCATCATATATGGGATCTCCATTGGTATAGCTAGAGGATTGGATTATCTCCACACAGGATTGCTTAAGCCTGTAATTCATGGAAACCTTAAGTCAAGGAATATATTATTGGATCGGAATTACCAGCCCTACATCTCTGATTTTGGCTTACATCTTCTGTTGAATCCTACTGCTGGACAAGAATTGCTTGAAGCTTCAGCTTCTCAGGGGTATAAAGCTCCTGAACTTATCAAAATGAAGGATGCAAGTGAAGAGACTGATATATACTGTTATGGGGTAATTTTGCTTGAACTGCTTTCGGGAAAGGAACCAATCAATGAGAATCCAACTCCTGATGAGGACTTTTATCTGCCAAATTTTATGCGAAATGCGCTTCTTGATCATAGAATCTCAGATTTGTATCACCCGGACTTGCTTCTAAGCAAAAACAATAGTCATGAAAACCCAGTTACTGAAGAACGCATTCTCAAATTCTTTCAGCTTGCCATGTCTTGTTGTTCTCCTTCTCCTTCTCTTAGACCAAACACTAAACAAGCCCTACGGAAGCTTGAAGAAATTGGAAAATAGGAACTTTGGCATTTTGCTGAAGTTGAACTTGATCTTGGTGGTAGGCCACTGTAAGGTTCATTTCAGGCTGATTTATCTATATTTAAAATTTTCTAACATCAACATGTTTGATAGTGTGACAATAGTGATGACAATGACATATGTGAGGAGCACATAAAAATTGTATTTTATTAAAGCAAAAAGTTGAAATTTTTTTGGCTGTGGGACAAAGATTGTCGAATTGGTGATGTGGACATTGGTGGAGAAAGTTGATTGCTGGGTGTTCTTTTGTGGCATAGGTTGCACATTTTAGCCATATATCCAACAAGCTTAGCGGAGTTAGTGATTGGATTTGTTGGATATCAATATCAGCAGCACAAGATAATGGATCTATTCCGGTCCCAGCTTGAGCATGCGGAGGCACATAAATTTGTGAGAAAGAGCCAATTTTTCAGCAGGAAAAGTGTATTTTTCTTCTTGGACCTCAGCATCCGGCCTTCTAAAGTGTGTGGATATTTGCACGAAGAATAAAGTATAACATTTTACCTCTTCAAAGACTGGAGTGGCCCTAAAATTGGCAGGGACTTTGGAGTGAAGCTGATGTTTTTATTCCTTACAACAACAGGTCAGTGTCCAAACTCTTAACGCTATGCCTGTTGTAAGCATAAATTCACAGTTTCCATCTGTTTGATTCAATTCTTTGACCCACTTCTTGAATTACCATAGCATTAATATCAGTGTGATATTTTGCTTAAAAGATCAATTTTCAGACTTGTTCAGATTAATTAGAAACTTGTTAATTGTATATTCAGTCAAATACATATGCTTGTCATATATCAGATATTCTCTGCATAACATTCTTATGTTGAAGCCTTCAAATATTTAGCTGTCATGGAGAGCTGAATGGAGGAATTCAATCTCTACTTGAGCTGTGAAGGGGATTACTTAAATAATAAAGTTAAGATTGGTACTTTATAATCCCTTTTGCACTTAGTTGTCCAACCACGTTGGCACACTGCTCATTCTATTTTCCTTTTAATTCTTTTGGTTGATTAGTGGCAGAATCTTTAATATCTTCAGCCACTAAATCAAGGCACTAATTGGTTGTCATCACTATCGGAAGATTTGAAGTATTTTTATCAAGATCTTTGCCTCCATTTACTTAAACCAAGTTGCCCCAAATTTTCATTTTTGGTGCCTTTTCTTTGGTACCTGGCTTCTTGTGGCATGGAAACTGCTTTCTCTGAAAATGATTGTCAAAGCTTTTCTGGAAAAAGTGCTTCAAAAGCAATCCCAAAATGAAAACTTTTACTGTAGTAATAGAATATTTGAACAAACTCTCTTTTGGTCTAATTGCATATGGCCATATGCATGTTGTACATTTCTGTTAAAATTTATACTCAAATTAATTATCTGTATTAAAATGATATTATTAGACTCATGAAACATCTCTTTCAATTATTTAAGAAAGGGTCAACCAGAACAGATACGCATGAATTGTCGACAATGTCATCAAGGCTTTATTTGACAATACAACTCAACTAACCGATAAAGACTCTAAAAATATAGAGGATTGAGTAGCAAGAAAAAGCCCTGTACTGGGTTGGTAAAATGAATTTTGATGACAAATAAACATCTGAAAATCAATCTTCTTTTAGGGCAATAGGAAACATATTCACAATATAATCTCTTATAATGTGCAGGACTTTGGTCAAACAGCTTGACATGTACAATAATGTGTGAACCAAATTTAAATAGTTAAATGTCTCTCACCAACTATGGTTGACATTAAAGCCCAAATGGATAGCTCAGGACAATTATAGTTGTGCTTGTGGTACTTGAGCTTCACAAGGGTCAACAGGAAATAAATAGCTTCGATCGACCTGCTGGATATATATATAATTTTCTGTACATTTAAACAGAGAAAAGTTAAATATCATTTAAATAAAGCCAAAATTTACCTCTATTTTATTATGGTGCTGCTCTGCTGGTGTCATAGACAGCTCCTATAAAGCAGATGGGCTCACCAGGAATTATGGGCTGGTTCAGTTAGGCCCTTAACTCTGGCTATCTAAATGCAAACCCAAGACAATTGCAAGCTTCGCATGCAGCATCGTCTCTTTAGGGAGTTAGATCCTCTCTTCATCTAATTTCACTTGATCTTTAGAAGATTTAAAGGCATATGACAATTTTATAATTCAATGATTAAAACAAAGAGTATACTCAATGTTTCATATTAATAGATTGTAACAATTAGAACATCATCAAACACAAGCAAGGCTCTCATTATGTTGAAAAACATCAACCCGTTCCAATTCTGGTTCATGAGCGTCAAATTCACTTGGAGCAAAATCATGAATCTTCTTGAAGGTCTGATCCTTGAAATTGTAACGGATTACTTTCTTTGGTATCTGCACTACCAAATAGGAGTCCTCATCATTCTCTTCTCTTGCAACACATAGCACAGAAAATGCGTAGTCATTCAGCTCTTCTGGACCTGGTTCTGGATCATTATGGTTCCTTATCATCTCAGGGAAAACAGTTGCAACCCCAAAAAGATCAACTTTATACTTCACAAACCATCCGGAGTAGTCTCTCTCCATTTCCAGAACATTAAACACAGCACCGCCAGGACCATAATTCTCAATAAGGTGCAAATGGCCTCCAGACTCTCCAAAGTAGCTACGTCTTCGCTCATCCCATTCTTCAGGAATTGGAGGCATTGGCATATCGCGTAGTTTCTCTTCATCAACGTTAAAATAGAAGCAAGTGCCTGATGGACTAATCCAATGGATGGCACCCTTCCAAAACACACCACGGTTGAAGTTTGTATCAGTTGGTCCAGTGAATGTACCTCCAGATAGTCTCCAGGGCCCGGTTTCTGGTGAGTAAATCTCTATCTGATAATGACCATGGCGCAAAGAGTCACAATTTCTTACACAAATGACTTTGTAATGAGGTGATTTTAAAGGATCGAATGCTAAGTTAACACCAAAAATAGATCTAGAAACTCCAGTTTTAACACGGAGTGGAGGAAGTGTAGTGTATTGCTTGGTCGTGGAATTGAAAATGTAATAGTTGTATTCACACCCTCGCCCCCGAAAACTGTTGTAGTCACGCCCTCGCCCCCGAAAACTGTTACATAACAGTAGACCATTGCAAGATTGCAGGACCTTGATCCCTGATGGGTCGTTAACAAAAGTGAGAGACTTAAAGGGCGCCCGAGAAGGATTGGAATGAAGATTGATGAAGTCATATTCAGGAAGAAGGTGTGAATACGAATTACACAAAAAGAGGCCAGAGGTGGGTCTGCGGATAAGATTTAGGTGGAAGGAGAAGTGGGGGTTGGAAATAAGGGACAGCCAGTGTTTGGACACGGATTTGAACTTGAGCAAGGATTTGATTGGGAGGCGAAGAAGTAATTCAATCAAAAGATCATCATTGTTTGCAATTTCTTCAGCTGATGGTGATGCTTGTTGAAGATAAGAAGAGGAGACGTTGATAATTATTTTGGTTCTTTTGGTCGAGACCATTGTGAGGAGTCTTGGTTGGTTGTTTTTGCAGGAGAAATGGAAATATATATTTATAGGTTATACCATGTGGGTGTGTGAAGCTATTTAGGAAGATTGTGCAGGAAGCCAGTTAGTGTAAATTCCTAAGCACGCTAAAGACTTTTGGTTGCCATGTTTACCTTTATAAACAAACACAGGACAGTATAAAGCGAGTATTTGATAAAATTGTTCTTTCTTAGTCAACTCTGAAGTTACAGTATTTTGTATCATATTTTAAGTTATGATTTCCGCAAACACCTGATGCCATTGGCTCCATCTCGTTTCCGCTCTCCACTTATCTCGCTTTCTTTAGTTGATAATTGGAATTCCGTTGACTTGTCAGCCAGGGAGCAAAGTAATTTTAAGCCAAACTCTCTTCATTTATGTAATTGGAATGACCCTTGACTTTGATGGTCCTATTGGGTTCAATAATTTGTTTAATGGGTGCCAAGTTGCAGTGACAACTTATTTCCAAATATGGAACCATTATTCTTTTTTTTTTTTTTTTGTTCTAGTGCAACTTTGATGAGTATTGCCTTGACTATTTATATATATATAGCTTGGATTTAAGAGATTTTCCAGAATTGCATGTTAATATTTAGTGAATCAACCCAAATAAGCAATAACCACTGGAGCAGCCAAGTCCTACAAAATTCTTAGAGAGAACCAGTTTGATATTTTCTTTAGCTTTAAAACAATAAGAAAGTGTTGGAGATCCTACATCGACTAAACAGGCTCAAGCCAACTAGCAATCCTTAAGAGTTAAGCCTAAATACCAACAATTGGTATCAGAGCTAGCACATATGAGCTGAGTGATTGACTAGTGGTGGGTTGCCAAACTACCTTTATTCATAGGCATAACCCGTCATATGGCTTGACTGTGAGGGGGAGTGTTGGAGATCTCACATCCTAGATACGCTCAAACCTACTGACAATCCTTCTATTCAATAAGGCTTTTTGGATAAGGAGTTAGTCAAAAAACCAACAGAAAGGATACCAAAACCCACCGTGACCAAAATCAATCATGAAATGCAAGCAAGACTCTTTATGTCTTGATAAGCAGCAGCACGGACAAAATCAAAATCAGTTACATGTCCAAATCCATTTTCAAATCTACCTTGAAATTCAGAATCACTGGAGTAAATCATGAATCTTCCTGAAACTGTTCTCCTTGAAATTGTAACGTATTACCTTTGTAGGTAAATATAACACCAAATATGAATCCTCATCATTTGTTCCCTTACACACATAATGTCGAAAATAGATAGTAATGCAAGTTCCTCTATAGCGATAGTTCCTAACCATCTCAGGAAATGCCGCTACAACTGTAGAAGATCGACCCACTTTACAAACCACCTAGAGCAATCCACTCTTTTCTCCATTTCATAGATTTTAAATAGAAATTGGAGGGGCTATTGTTGTAACTACTCGAACAGATTAACCAGAAAGCAAACACAAAATCACAAAAGGATTCACACACACACAACAACAACAGCAAGATTTACCGTGGTTCACTTGCTTGGATATGAGCAAGCTACGTCCACGTTGAGCTCGGGAACCAGCGAGCTCGCTGCACTTATTGATTATTACAGAAACACAACTCAACCAAGAATCAAACCCTTACACAGATCTTTCTAGAACCCGTAACACCCTAGAGAAAACAGATCTAACACCCAAAACACATGCAAACTCTAGTACCCTCAAATGCCTACAAACCAGCCACTCAAACACCCTATTACAGATTCAAGATCAAGACTGTACCCAAACCCTAATGGAGGCTTATTCGTTTTACAGAGAAATAAAAAACACGAAAGAAGGTTTCAACTGTTGAGAAAGGGACTGTTGCAATGCTTTTATACTGTGGACTATCAGACTGATTTTCCACCTTTGGATGCTCACCAGCCATGACAGGATTTGTCTTTGCTTGGCTCAAAACGACGTCGTCTCACTTAATAATAAAACTCACCGTATGAGCCCAACACTCTAACAACTCTCCACCTTGATGGGTTCATCCGTGACTGTAGTGCGTCTACTCTTTATGGAATCCTTCATTGCTCTGTCACTCTGTTTTACTGGATGAATAACAATTCAAGCAGTGCTTGAACTTGGTTGAGTGACTGTCTTGGTGCCCATTCTGCTGATTTTCTTCGGTCGAAACCTTTAGAAGTGCTATCTCATCTCTTGAGATCAAGTCCTTACGAAGTATATCTCACATCTATGTGTTTCGTAGTTCATGGTACACTGGATTCTTGCTCAAATGTATTGCACTCTGCTGTCAGAGAAGATGACAAGCCTCTGATTTGTTATCTTGGCTTCACTGAGAATTCCTTTTAGCCAGATAGCTTCTTTGAATATGTCAGCAACAGCAACATATTAATGGATAATGCTACTATCGTCTATAATTGGGATTTCCAGCTAATGCATTGCCTCCTAAGTATAAGAAGTATGCAGTAGTGGATTTTCTAGTGTCCCTGTCACCTGCAAAATCTGCATCTACAAACCCAACCAACTCAAGTGAAGCAGTTTTTTACAGTAATGCAATCCGACATTTAAGGTAGCATTTATGTATTTCAGAACCATTTAACAATCCGTGGTCCATTCCAGGTTTAGACATGTACCTACTGAGTAAGGAAATTACAAAGGCTAAGTCGGCCTTGTGCAATCATAGCATACATAAGAGATCCTCACATTTGCATATGGGATATGTTCCACTTAATCATTTCAGGTTCATTTCTAGGACATTGTGATTTACTCATGTGAAGTGGCTGGCCAGTGGGATTGTGATAGGTTTTGCATCTGCCATTCCAAATTTTTCTACTAGTTTGTGCAGATATGAACACTGGTGTACTCTCAGCTCACATTTTGCCTATTTCTGTCAATTTGCATTCCTAGGATCTTCTTAGCATTTCCTAAATCTTTCATTTCAAACTCGCACTCAATTTTTCCTTTAATCTACAAATCAGGGACTTAGACTTGCTAATTATTAACATGTCATCCACATACATCAGTAACTACACAGGCAGGTTATCACTGAGGGCAAAATAAAAGCAGTTATCATATTTACTCCTAGTGAAACCTATACCACAATGAATGTGTCAAATCTTTTGTACCACTGTCTGGGGATAGTTTTAGGCCATATAATGATTTTAGAAGGAGGCAGACATGGTCATTGGGTCTATAAATCCTACAGGCTGGTTCATATAGATCTCTTCCTCAAGGTCCCCATGGAGGAGGCAGTAGTTACATCTATTGCTCAAGTTCTAAATCTAGGTGGCTACAATGGAGAGCATTAATCTAATTGTTTTATACTTAACCACTGGGGAAAAGACTTCATTGAATGTCTATTCCCCCTCTTTTGGTGAAGCCCTTGGCTACCAGTCTAGCCTTATCCTAGTGGTTCTCTGGTTGTTCTCCATCCTTCAGTTTGAACGCTACTTACATTGGATTACCTTCTTCCCTTTTGGCTTTGGTACAAGAGCCCAGGTAGTTCACCTTCAGAGACTTCATCTCACTTCCATGGCAGCCTTCCATTATCCTTTTCCTTAGAGTTGACTATTCCTCATAAGTCTCTGGTTCAATTCTCTACAGTTCTGTACCTCAAGAAGCAGTATATGAGGTCAGCATATGAAAACCTTGTGGGGATCCTTACCGTCTCCTGGCCCTATCTCTTGTAAGTTAGTAATCTTGCAAGTTTCAGGGTGAGTTTCTGTATCTTTAGCGTTTCTGTCTCACCTCTTGCCTGGATCATAATGTCCACTTCTCCTCCAGTTCAGGAACAGCTTCAGTCTCCTGGGTATTTTCAGGATCCTGCAGTGGTTTAGGTTGGGCAGGAAGCTCCACCTCATTTGTGTAGTCTTAGGCTGACTGGAATTCCCCTTACATTTGATTTGACCTATATTTGAGTTATACTTTTACAAGGGAAAATACTCTCATTAAGATTACTCTCGGCTTACTACAACTTTAATCACAGGGAATCCTTGTCCCACAGTCTGTACCTTTTGTTTCTTCTTGGTATCCCAGAAAACACATTTTGTTGATCTTGGTTCCAGTTTTCCACCACAGTGTGTGCATATGCAGCACAGCCAAAACTCTCAAGTGTCCCAATCAGGTTTTTCTTCATCCACTCTCTTCTGGACATTTAGGTTATCATGGAAGGGCTTCTGTTTATGTAGGCAGAGGTGGTAAGGCTTCCTCCCAAAAGGGTGGGGAGTTTGGAGGTGATAAGCATGCTCTCACTTTATCCAAGAGTGTTCTGTTCATTCTCTCAGCCCCCCATTCTGTTGAGGGTGTGTTTCACAGTTCTATGCCTCGAATCCCTTCATCCCTGCAGAACTTATCAAACTCTGGTTGCAGTATTCTAACCCATTGTCAGTCCTGACCTTAACCCTCTCTTCATTTGGTTTTCAACTAAGAGTTTCCACTCCCTAAACTTTTCAGGCTTGATCCTTAGTCTTTAACAGGTAAATGATGAGAATGCAAAATGTCTATTTCCCCCCTTATGTCTAGTCTTTTATTTATTTTCTGCCTAAATATCTCTACTTCTATTTGATTTAGGATGCAAATGGAGGCGCTAATTGCAAAACGGAATTATTAAGTGAATCCGATAGTTTCAACTCGTTTGGTAATCTGGGCATAACTCTCATCCAAGCTCCGATTGAGATGTTCAAAATTCCGTGGAACGCTAAGAGAGATCTACAACTTTCATGTTTTGAGTTTGGAGATACTTGCTGCATCAAGGTTGTAATCGAGCTTGAAATTAACGCATCTGTATTGGACGTTCTGGAACATTCTGCCTTGTCATGCAATTCAAATAGGCAGATTTTTATTGGAAGATTTGAAGACCTATTGCACAAATTACAGCTGGACACCACCTTTTCCTATTTTGTATTAAAACTTTATTTTATTTCCAATTAATTAGATTAGGATAAATGTTATTTTAGGATAGTAGAATATTTTGGAGATTTAGTGGAATCAATACTTGAATTGG